AGGCCATAACTTGGCAACACAAGACAACAAGTGAGGGTGAGGGGAGATGGTATGATTTCGTCAGGGAATTCCGGAATCGATAGGAATTAGGTTCTAGGAATTCCGGAATTGGTAGGAATTAAGTTGTTGGGATTCCGAAATTAGATGAAAGGGACATTATAGGAATTCCGGAATTGAGGGAACTGATTCTGGGGCGGAACTGGTTCCCGCAATGTGCAACATTGCGGAATAGGATGTATTCTCATAAATGTACTATCCATTTCAAAATATACTCTACTCCATTGTTCTTTGAATAATTTTTGATAGGAACATCACAAGATGAGTTCTCGGTGAGGAGAGACCTTAAACTTCAACCAACTGACCTATGAATCAACTGGAAAAGTAGGTCGGTAGGAATAATTTATTATGTTGAATCTAACGATGATTCTTGTTTTAGGTTCGAACTTATCTGGTACTGTTATTTCAATATTTTCGAAATATCGACTATTTCATGTCATGAAAGCTGATTGTGGAAGTTCACATATAGTGAGAACGCAGAGTAAGATCATATTGAACCTAGAAACAAATATCATCATTCGATTCAGTAATGCGAATTATTTTTGCCTAGTTGTCTCTTCGAATGATCATAGGTCAATTGACCGAAATCGGAGATCTTAGGAAAAGAAAGGAGATATCTTCAGAATATTGTTTTCAAAAAACTCCATCAAGAATATCGAAAACTTAACCTACATTTTTTTTTTATATCTAAAGCTTATTCTTTGTTATTAAAAAGTATCCGATGTATATATACATGAAATATCATAAATATTATTTCGTATCTATGCGATATAAACGAAGATAAAATCATGAAAAAAAAAATGACATATTCGAAAGTATCTTACTTCGATAACTGCATTTTCAATTAAATTTGTTACTGGAGTATTTGATGGATTAGTTAATCTAAGTTCAGTTTTACCACGTGTTACACCAGCAGCAAATTCTCGTCTTGTTTCAAGTTCAACAAAACTCTTTAAAAAAAAGAAAATACAAATCAGTAAATTTTTTTGTTTTCTGTTTTCATATTTTATATTCATTAGATAACATTACAAGATCATTATCATATGGTTTTTTTTCAAAACGAAGTAAACATTCTGTCCAAATAAATTGACGAAGTGAAACAGGTAATTGTTGACCAAATAATTTTTCTCTTATAAATATAATACGACGAGGATCACGTTTAAGTATTGCAACAACTGAACTTGATAAAATATCACTATATTGTGATGTCATTGGATAAGGTGTATAATGTAATTCTATTAGAAAAGAAATAGATTATTCGGATTCTTTATTTAAAAAAAAAACAATCAGCATGATAGATGGAGACTAAATTAAACATGCATTAACTATCTGATATAGTTAAGGACAGATTAATGATAAGGCCAGAGAAGAGTTCAGTTATCCTTAGAAGGCTTTGAGTTTTCTCCCTCTACAACTTTTTTTCCAGTTACGTCACTGGGACAGGTACTGACCATTGAAATAGTTATTAATGATAGTTGGCAATTATAATCGATCTTATATATGGTAAAGGTTATTTTCGTTTTGATTTAATTTTGATGAAAAATTTGCAAACATAACTTTTAAAATGCATTCGATCGAAATCTCTGTAGACAATGTTCGAAATAATTCAATCGTTGCTGTATGAGAATTGTTAACTATTAACTTGAGTAAAGTTCTTAGACGAGTTATGTTGCTTCAAACACTAATCGAACACTTTAATAGATTAAATTAGAGTAGAATATAACATCAAATTAAGAGCGATTATTCACAATCAACTAATTCAGTTTATTATACTTCATTTGATATTGGATAGTTTTGAAGAATGTTTCTTGTTTATACAGAAGGTCATCCGAGATAATCGAAACCTCAAGTTACGTAATAAAACAAACTGCAAAGCTATTGTTTGTTAGTCATGAATTTCTGATGAGAGAAGTCATCCAATTGATAAATCGTTTTTGAGTCGACACTACGCACATTATGTAGACGTAAATAAACTCTAAATACCTTAAAAAGAGTTCGCATCCTTAGCTTATTGTAACAGAAATACTGAAGTTTTACGGTATTTCTTGACTGAATATCATGGTTTAGAAAAACTAAATTTCAAATTTTGAGTTGAAAATTTACATAAAGATATAGACTTTGACAAGAGTATATCTTAGGCAACGACTTGAAACATTTATAAAAAATTATTCTCATGAAAGCCTGCCTCTATGCAAAGCTTTTAAGTCAAAATTCAGTTTTTCTGTACTATGACACTAATTTTAAATCTACTGTAAAAGTACATTATCTTCATAGTAATAAGATAAGGACATAAATTCTTTTTCAGGATATTCTTGACTCATTTAAACCTATATATTGCACATAATCTCGATTCAAAGGCGATTAAGACCCCCCCCCCCCCACCAAACCCAACTCAGCCACTGCGCATTCCATGACAGTAACTTTTTACGTGTTCCTTTGTCGTG